ACAGTCAGAAAAATGAATAAACAAACAAAAATATCGGATTTTTTTCAATAAAAATGTTTTTTTAAGGTAAGTTTACAATCTTATGTTCTGTATTTATATCCATTGTTTTTAATGCTTAACCGTAATAAACACTTTGCAAATTAATTTTTTCGATAATATATAAATATATTTATAGTTAATGAATATATAACATTAAATTTCAAAAAATCTTATTGCGTCCCAGAATTATGTGGGCCCTCGATATAACAATATATCCCTCTACAACAATATTCTTATTTGGTCCGCAAAATATTGTTGTAGCGAGGTTTTACTGTATATATATATATATATTGGAAGATTAATTCATCCTGTTCAAAACTTATCTAATAATTCTTCCCTGCTTTTTATTACTTTCAATTTTGTTCTTATAACTGGAAAACAATAAATATACTTATTATTTTTGCTGCCTAGTTGTGTTTAGTTTTCCTTCACATAATGCTAATAAACATTTACTTATCTTTCTACTCGAACATAAACAGCCAATACATATGCTTGTTTTGAATTTTTAAGTTAGAAAATGTTTATGGCAGATTTTTAGATATTTATATAGACGTTTTAAATTTTATTTGTAATCTCTTATAATCCGCTCTGACCTATTTCTTTTTAGGAATGTGTGAAGAAGAAGGCTCTTGCATCAGTTGCAGCTGTGAGAGATCTGACGCCTGAAGAAGCGCAGGCAGCTTTGGATAGAGTTTTCACAAAATGCTACAATGATCTGGAACCTTTAGGAAGGCGTCTGAGGCGGAACTCTAGGGACATAGAAAAAGTGTACAGAGAACGTTATCTATATGGCTATGGCCATGTGTGACAATCATTATGAATTAGGTAATTGACTTTTCAAATTGTTTGACCGTAACTGTTTTAGTTTTTCTGTTCAATGTTATTTGTAAGTTATGGAATTATGGGAATTCGTAAATTGTAGAAACAACTCATCAAAGAGTGTATACTCAATTTTGATTTAGTTTAAAATTAATTTACTTTGCAGTTTAGGCTTATTCTCACAGGAGCTAACTTTAACTTTAATAGGTTTAGGAATGCAAAAAGTTAACTACTTTTTATTTTCTCTTGGTAAAAATTCTCTAAACGACTAAAGATTTTTTGCAAATGCATGCAAAATCTCTTTTTTTTTTTTTTCAATAAAAAGAAAAATTCAATAAGATACGCAAAGAAATATGTTTTATTTTAGAACATTATAATAGGCTTAGTTTAAAAGTATTTTAAATTTCAAAAATAAGATATGTTTTTGAAGTAATTGGTAGACACAATTCCTCCTTTACCAGCGAAGAACTCTTGTATTAAAAAATAATAATAATTCTTTAAGAGGAAATTTTATGGTAGGATAACATTATACTAAAAATGTTAATTTCTATAAGTGTTATGAATTTTAAAAGCAAAATATGTTTTTCAAAAGAAGATTCACTGTTTAATTTACAATATTTAACTAAAGTTTTTGAAATTTCTTAAAAAAAAGGAGTTTGTACATTTAAAAAATGTCGATAATAAATGACATATTGAAAGCATTTTAATTATTTGTATAAATGCTACAATGATGTTTAATCTTATAAATGTGTTTTCAAAACACTTTTTTTAATACATTTTTCAATTTTATTCCAGGATTTTAATATTAAAGTTTGATTATTACTTACTTTAAGTAACATACAACTATTGTATGTACTATTAAATTATGATATGTAAATTCATATGAATTTTATTAATTTGTTAATATATTTTTTGCTGTGACTACAGTCAATTGATGACAATTTGATGAATATTGATTTTGATGTGATTTGACTGCTATTGATTACTTATTTGTTTTTCCTGCTAATTCTTTAATATTTTTAATCATTTGTATTTTAATTAAAAGCATTCAAATGAAAATGTATTGAAAACAAAAACAATAAAATGAACAGTAAATTTTTTTCTGAATTTATTTCCATAAGGAAAATGTGAAAAAAGTTAAGTTAAAAAATAGTTCTATTATTGTTGCAATAAGAATTTTTTTCGTTAAAGTTTCAGCTAATTACTTAGTGTGTAAAAACTTGCATCAAAGCAAAATTTAAAATGTATAAAGTAAAATTAAGCATATTTTATTATTAAGGGTTAACACTATTTTGTTATTAAAATTTAAGCATAATTTATTATTAAAATTCAGGTATATCTTGATTATTGTTGATTCTTAAAACTTCACATAAGATTCATACGAACTATTATGAACTTAAGGTATGTCTTCCATTTACTAAAAACCCTAATTTCCCATTATATATAATTTCTCATTATACCCATTATATGTTACCTAATAATTTTCCCATGTGAGAACATCTCTAAGATCGTTACAACTAGGGATGTAACAAATATTCGGCTCTTTTGCTGAATATTGAATAATTAGCTGATTTTGCTGAATATCAGGTGGCCGAATGTTTAACCAAACGTTCGATACTAAAACAACAAGACAATTTTGGAAAATAATTTTTCAAAGTTTTTTTTTTTGTGTGGAATTTAAATAGATTTAACAATGGAAAATCTAAAATCGTATTTTTTCAGAATAAAAATGTTAAAAATAGTTTTTACACATATTTGTAAGTTCTAAAACTTGCACACGGCTTGCAAATTTATATTCCGGAAGACAAATGGAAAAACTAGATTTGAAACTAGATTACTTTACACTGAACCATGAATTTTCTACTGCTGATTTTTTTAAAATTACATCCTAGCAAGTCAATTTCATCATTTTGTCAACATTTTTTTTGTTTCATTTTTGCTGTTGTTCTTATATTGTGTCATTTTAATGGAGGGCTGCTGATAGATTATCTTCTTTTATTGTCACTTTTTCCTGTAAAGGAAGGCAGATACCTGTTAACATAGAAAACTGTGATTTTCATCATAAAGGATATATTTTAAGAATTAAAAAAAAAAAAAATTCTGTTTCTCTTATGCCTTTGATTTATTACCTTTCCTTTTTATCCTTGTTTTCATTTCGACACAGCATTTTTTAAAGAGCGTTTTTAATGTACATTATTCTTTATTGCCACTTTTTTCTAAAAATACAGCGCTGTAAAAAAGTAAAATCGATATTTTTAGCTAGCTTTATTTTTTTTAATTAACTTTTTTATCAACGTTTTTTTTACTATTTAATGCCAAATAAGTAGGTTTCTATCAGACTTGATTCTTTTTTCTTCGCTTTTTCTTAGAAATACAGTAATTGGAAAACTTAAATATTTTTCTTTAAAATTTTCTTTCGAACATTAAGATCGATTTATATTTTTTCCGTTTCATTTTTGTAAATAATCTTTTGTTATTATAGTAGCGGGGCAGTTTTAAAAAGCGTTTCTGGTAGATTCTATCTCTTTTAACATTTTATGAATACTTTTTTTTTCTGGAAGATTAGTTTTAAGAATTAAGAGGATTTTTTTCCTATTTCTCTTTTTCAGCTTTACAACTTCAGTTTTTTTATGTCTATATGATTGTTAGTCAGTTTTTTATTTATCTTAAATATTTCTAATTGATAACTGTTATAATTTGTTCCCTTTACCCTACACCAATAAATAGCTCAGTTTTGATTAATTTTGAATAATGACTAAACTTATTTATGTGTAGAAATATTCATTAATGATTTTTTTAAAAACAAAAATATGTTATTCTGACATTAAATTTTTGGTATTCAGCAGTTTTTTTTATTGAATATTTGGTATTCAGCCAAATCACTGTTAGTTATATTCCTAGTTATAACTCTTAATCAAGAACTGTGAATGAACTTGAAATGTTTTCCAAGGCATTTGTGTTTTTTGGCGTGATTGCTTCTTTGATTTATTAAAACTTTATACATAAAATATTTCATTTTGACGTTATTTTTTATATTTGTAAAATTTTCTCTTTAAATTTTAAGAAACACTTCATGTCATAATAACATTTTCAGTTAAGATATAAGACAGAAAACACTTTTTAAAATTTACATTCCTTTTCTCTTACATCTCATCTCAACAAAAATAAACCTCCATCCACTATGTTAACACCCTTAATATTTGTGATAAAGCTGTTATTAATTATTTTGCTTCACATTTGCAATTCATTTCTTTTTAGATATGATTAAAATGGATAACCACAATAATCCATTTAATTTTGCTCATAAAAGTTTTTCTTTTTACTAAATATCAGCAAATTGATAATTCATGTAAAAGTTAGTGCCCCCAATATTTTAAACAAATTCTTTTAGAAATTTATATTTATTAAAGAAAATGCATATCTCTTACTAATGTTGTGTCGGTAGGGATTATCCATTGTTCTCCACTGTTGGGTGAAAATGGTGTTTTTCCTCTATTGATAGTGCTAGTGTAGGGAAAAAAATTATATTTTCCCTTTGTTAATAGTTTTAACAATATATTTGACATCTAATCATTGTTTAAATTGTTTAAGTTTTTCTGAAATAAATTACCTCGTTATTTTTTAAATATTTTTACACTAAGAAATTAGAATCTTCAATAAACATAAAAAGCATAATGTGCAATAAAAATTTCAAAAATATCCAGAGAGAAATATTTTATTTGGTAAGTTCTCATGTACATAATATTTTACATACTATGAACACAGTCTTGTACAATAATTGAAAAACAAACACAGTAAAATTATAATTCAGAAAGACTATAATTATCTTCCTATGACTAAAAGTGGTGGAAAAAAAATGCCTTTAAATAAAATAACTGCTGTTCAATAAATTCGTTATCTTCAGTTTGCATCAGATTGTACTTTTTCATTCAGCAATAACAAAAGACCTAATATTTTTCTTTATTTTTAATATTGCTGATACAATTACGCTTTTAACCCTTAAAAGTGTAATTTGTTAAAGTCTGGTTAAATCTTTTAATGTAAAAATAAATTTTTTATGTACAGTTTGGTTTTTTAGAAACACACACTCCTCATCAATCAAATAATTTTCTGAAGAAATTTTTCTTGATTAGAAAAGTAATTTCTATTTTATTTTTTAGCTATTGTAAAAATGATGCTTGCCAGACATGCAAAATAAATTTCAATTTTACAAAACTTTTATGTACAATTTCCATAATTTTAGGCACTCTTTGCAAGATATGAAAACTATTTTCTATTCAAAGTTCCTACCATAAATGTAATGTTGAATTTCAAATTTCCTTAAAAATATGATATGCATTATATTTTTCAAAAACACATATATTTGCACATTCCTTGTTTCATTGTAAAAGCAAAGCAATCCTATTTTTTTCCCATCCATTAATGTAACTAAGAATGAATGGAAAATGAGTTTTGCCTTTTGTTTTTCAAAACAGAAAGAGAGTATTAAGTAGAGTACCTGTATGAAATTTTATGTTCACAACATTAAATATCACAGAGAAAATATAACTGCACAACTTAAATTTTGAATTTTAACATTATTGCTCTTATTTTATTAATTTTTTTAATCAAATACAACATGATTCTGTACAACATTGCATTCATTTTTATCAATATCATGACTATTCATTGACTTATCACAGAACAAATAAAATAACTAAGCATTTTATTTTAATCAAGAGTTTTGAATTTAATAAATAAAATCTAAGTTTATACAATTCGATAAGATTTCATTGATAATCATTGTCAATAACATTTTGAAACTTTTTTTTTTATTTTCCATTTCCATTCAGTTTTCATAATATACATGGGTTGAAGTCTGAACACAATGAAATCTGTAAGAAAATAATAACTGACATTAGATAATTAAAAGCAACTTTCTGGTTTAATTATGAACTTAAAGCCTTTCACATAATGTTTTTAATATATGCAGGGTGATTTAGCACAGTAGTTACAAACTTGGTGAAGAGGTAATGCGAGTGAAGGTCAGTTTAGCAACCCATGGTCAGAAATGTCTTTGTGCATTGTCAGGAATGCTGCTTCATTACGGACTGACTGTTCATGCACATTTAAGCTGGTATTTTTATTTTATAATCAGCATTGAGCAGCCCTTAACCCAATTCTGAGTTTTCAACTGTCAATGTTCACCTCATTAACCTTGAAATTTCGAACCCAGACCGGAAAACAAGAGAACTCCTTGATCGAGCATTGGGACAAACTAGCCTTCTTGAAGGATTTTTTTTATTGAACTAATCCACATTTGCATTGCATAGAAAGGAAAACCATAAAAAAAACTCCCAGGGTTAGCCCGGAGGCAAAGGGATTCATCTACCTCTAAATGATGTCAGCAGTGTGGTTGGTGCAAGCTTGGAGCAGAATTCATGTTAACCAGCCACCGCTAGGATTCGAACCTGCTTAACCTCATTGGGAGGAGGGCACCTGAGCAACCACCTCTCAGACAATAATTTTAAGTTACTAAATTCAAAGTTAAAATAATTTTGATGAATAAAAGTATGCTTAATCAAATGTGCTTAATAGTCAGCCAGCCAAGCAGCCCTATGAGGACATTTTCAGGTATAGGTTGCTATGCTATTCTTCAAATTAGTAACCACTGTGCAGAGTTAACCTATATAGGATAAATTTTCAGCATGCAATCAGTAACATAAAAGAACCACATACCACAATGAACAAATAAACGAAAAATACTATGAATCTATAATTAATTGGATAAAGTTTTAATGCAACCTTAGCGGTTAAAGGGACATCAGGCATGTGATCGTTGTAATGTCCATTAAAAAAATCTGCTATTTGTTGGTAAAACTTTGTGCACTAACTCATCACTATCATGAAATATGTTGGCATATGTGCCACGTCAGGCTATTTCAGTAATTTTTATATTTACTGGCTACCGGATATTTTAATTAAATACTGTTGCTGTTAGCCCTTAAACTATTAACTCAGAACTATGTTTGGAGTACTTTGAAATCTTTCTGATTTTCATCTACCCTATCAGAAAAGATGAGATGGCATGCATTAGGCTAAAGTATGAAGAACTACCTTTAGACTAAAAAAATGAAGAACTACCTTTAATTACACTAAAGTAGTTTTCTTCCCCTTCTCCTGTTTGTTGAACCACTCTATAATCTCACTGTCATAAGCATCAGCTGCAGTTTGCTCCTGTGATTCATTACTCCTCATCGTATTGCCTTCTTGCCTATTTTAAACAAAAAATAATAAAATTTAATTAGTTAAAAAAGTTAAAAAACACATTTCTGATATAAATTGTTAATCTAGAAATGCATTTTTCAAAAAGCCATTATATTTCAAATTTGAAATCTTTAAAGAGAAAAAAATCTGAGCAAAATATTTTTTGTCTCCTAAACAATAATCTTACTGAAAAAAATTTTAAACAAATAATTTTTGTGACAAAACATAGGAAACTTTGCAATATCATGCTTTTTTAATATAATAGATTATAATAGATACAAATAATATGACAGGCTTGGTGAAATCATCCCTACCATAGCCCATCCACTAGGGCCAGGAGGATCATGGAAGTTAAAGCTTAAAATTTTGTTACCCACTGCATGATTGTGATGAGCGTAAGGTCATCTTTTCGGACAAAACGCCACTGAGGTCCGAACCTTTGTCCTTCGCGACAGCTAAGTTTCTTTTAACCACTGAGCCATCGCAGCTCTAGTTGCGTTTTTATTGGAAAATTTTTTTTTGCAGTTTATTAAATGTTTGAGGTTAATTTTCACAACAATGGTTTTTTTTTTCCTTCTATTTTTAAACTTATGAAGTGTAAAGCATGAGCTCGTAATTTATGAATTTAATGGTTGGTTGTAAACTCGGAAAATTAATTGCTTTAAAAGAAATATCACTACAGTCATGCATACAGTACAAAAATAGGAGTATAAAAAAATAATAATAAAACTATATAATTCAGAAGTCCTATGTACTTAGAATCTGAGAATTTTTCAATCACTCATGAGTTTATCAAGGATTTGTCTACTTGACCTTTATTTCATACAAAGACCTTAAAATTGAAGAATGTTGTAAAACTATGAAATTTTAAAAAATTGTCATGTTAAAAAAATATCCTTTAAAAGCTGCCTATTTACATTATATATTACTGGTTTATGTTTCAAACTTTTTTTAAATTGCATTCATTCTTCCTTCTAAAAATTGTTCTTTCCTATTCTTTGTGAATGAGTTCTTATATTACTTTACCATTGTGCATATAAAATAATGTACATGTGTGCAATTTATTACATTAATTTTGAAATAAATGTAACTAACTGTAAAATTTAATATTTGAACAGCTTAGTGGCAGAAATTACATTTTAGTGAATGAGAAAATCGGCCTTAAAATGTATAAAAACATGAGCAGCTATTTTTAAAAAATTTTCCGATTGAAAAACGCATTTCTACAATTAATTTAATTAAATTCTTTAAGGCTGTTTTTCGAAGGCTGCATTGTATTATGAAATAATGCTTTATTGCAAATAATCTGCTATTTTTATAACTGCTGTGAGTTTGCAAATGTTACTCATGACTGTTGGGTCTAGTTTAGCCTATCTACGCTTATTTAGAAAATGGTGCAAAACTTTGATATGGAGAAAAGCCACAATTTTGTGAAAATGATAAGCGTTAGTGGTCTAATTTTTTAATATTTATAAACTTACTCCAATGCTGCATTACCTGGGCTCATAAAAATTTGCAAAAATTGAGAATATGGCAGTGATTTTGATAGTTTTCATCTAGGTGGACAAATTGGCCATTTTTTAAAAATTTCAATAACTTTTAAAATATTTAAGTTATTTGTCGGTTCTAAAGACCAGATAATTCTTTGTGGCAAGATTAGATGTATAGTTTAATATCATCACATTGCTTCAAGTGTACGGCTCTTGAACTCTAGCTTTTTGCCTTGGCAACAATTTTGCATAACAGGGTTAATACCCTATGCTTATAACACAGCATAATTACTTTATCTTAGATAAGGTAGAGTTTTAATAAAGTCTCTTAACATATTTTACAATTGAATTAGTGAGATTGAAAACGGGTCATCTCTTTTAAGACAGCCTTTTTTTCAATTACGAAACAACTTACTTAGTGTGATCAGAAGGCAATCTTTCTTTCTCATCTTGTTGACTAAGAGATGTGCTGGCAGGTGATGCTGTTCTTGATCTCTCCAAAACAGGAGACATAAGGGGCGGTGCTGCAGATGGGAACTGCCCACTAGATTGATTGGCTTTCCAGGCTACTAATTTGGCGTGTAAATTTTGACTAGCTGTTTGGTGTTGCTTTCTGTGTTTGGTGCTATATTTATAAAAGTCTGAAGTTTCATAAGGTTTTGTTTCCTCCCAATAAGGTTGAAAATGTCCGTAAGTAACTATGTCTACTTTAGGAGTCTGGTGACTTGGACCCACGTGAGATTTCAGACTTCCCATTGAAACTGATGTTTGAACACTATGACGTGGTTTAGAAGGCCAGCTTTTTTCTGCCCCACTAGGTGGTGACACAAGTCCAGAATCATAAGCACTTAAATTCAGAGTCCTAGTTTGGGAATCAGTGGCAGAAAACTCTGTCCACTGTTTTGTTTTCTGATGAAATTGTTTGGGTGGCTGATAGTGGTGATGTTTCATCTTGTCCGCGTGTGGCTGATTGCCCACAAACATTGCATTTGCACAGAGTTTTAGATTTTTATGGTACAAGTTGGCATCCTTTTGGCTCTCTTGGCATTTATGTTCTGTAGGAGATTTTTCGTGATGGCGGTGGTGATGAAAGTGATGAGGATGGTGAAAACTATGGGAGGGTAGATGTGACTGATGTTGTTCTTGGTATGGAAACATTTCTTGGTCTCTGTAAGCTAGGATATTGTCATAACCTGAATAAGGCTGAACTGAACTTGGTCTTGATTGCTCAGTGCTATTGTCAATATACATGCGGTATTTCTGCATACTGTGCCTTCGGTTTCTATCTAGGCTATTATGACGTGATACAAGTCCTAAATCCTGAGCAGACATTGGTATGGATGCCAAAATATCATCTTGGGTGTCAAAAGCTTGGCTTGTGCGTTGAGTTGGAACACTATATAAATTTGATCCATCTAGGTTTAAAGTGGATTCAAACCTAAAAATAGAAATGAATATATATTAGTGTTTCGAACAATTGCATCTAAATATGTTCTATGTGTGTTCCTTCTATTTTAATTTATTTAGAATTACTTTTAATGGGTCAGCTTGTGTAGAATTTAAAATTTTTCATTTTACATGAAAGATTGTACTTTTTTTATAATTCAAATCCTTTAACTAAAATATTGATTTCTATGATTTTTCTACAAAAATTTAGTAAGGAAATAATGTTGCTGTGTTCATCAACACCTCAACAGACTTAGATAATGTAAAATATTTGATCCCAACACAAAATCTTGATAAAAGAAAACTTTCTGCACTCTTGTAACTAGTACTAAGAATTTTTTCTGTCCATTTACATTGCTTTTTAAATACCGATAATTTAAATAGTTTTTTCCGCTGTTATTTATCTTATTTTCTGCTTTTTATTTGTGCTTTTTCAAACTCCGATATATTTAATACGTTATTTCGACACGTGAATTTCAAATTTGAGTCATCACTTTTTAAGGTTCGCGACGAATCTGTCGTAAATCCACGTCGTTTCCGGCCATCTCCACTTTTTCCCCCTTTATTCTGATAATTTTTATACGATGTTATTACGATTTAGGGAGTCACTTTTTGACCTGCTCAATTAAGATCGATTTTACCGTAAATCCACGTCGTTAATGGGCCGTTTTATCAGCAGCTGTTTGTCGTTTCTTGACTATTTTTTCGTGGTTTCTTTTTTTTTCGATTCTAATGTAATTAATACGATGTTACGGCTGCGAATTTCATATTTTAGTAATCACTTTTTCACGCGCTTGATTTGCTACGATTCCAACGTTTTCGGCAGTTATTACGATTACTTATCGGGGTTTTTTTTCCATTCATTTCGACATCGTTTTTAAAATTCCGATATTTTTATAATCCGGATATTATTATAACAACAAGCAACATTTTCAAAATTCGAGAACTACGCTCATTTTAAAACTGATTTATAGATTATGCAAATTTAACTGAGGAATTATTTTCAATTTAACCTAATTATCTTTAAAAAAAAATATTTTTTTAATGACAAATTAACAACTTAGTATATTTTGGGACTCTTAAAAGTTATACAAGTATTTTTGAACAATAACCTTTTTTTAGGCGGGACATCCTTTTCTTTTTCTAGCGCTCTGCCCTTTTTAAGGTGTAGAATAAAAACTGCTAAAGGAAAGAGTTTTTAGGTAATTAATGATAAACAGTCTGTAGTTTTAAATTCTTAATATCATTAGGAACATTTTAAATTCAGTTTGTAGGTGTATCATGGTGCAGTGTAACAAAACTAGATATTATATAGCAGTGATTTTATAATTATATAGGTATTCTCTTTTAGAATTGTGGCTCTGAATAGGAAGGGAATTTTTCTTTCCAAAAATTAAGTATAAACTCTGTGCCACATAGTAATCAAGTAAAATTTACACAAATAATAGATATGTTTAGGATTAAATGAAATTAACTAAAAATGATTTATTTTGTTATTCTACCCATTAATAATGTAAAAATAAGTTATAACTTGAAAAGATAATTACTTATTTCTGTATGGAGCAGTGAGAGGAATAAGTGCACTGTCTTTATCTCCAAAACCAGAAATGCCACCAAATTCTGAACTTGATGCAGATGAATAAGATGTTGGCGATCTCATAGAAAAAGTTGGATATTGTTGGCTTCTATAAGAGGTTTGCGTTTGATAAATAGAACTAGGGGTATAACCTTGGAAGGCTAAGTCCATTTTTAGAATGTCTGGTTTTTCTGTGAGACTATTTCTTTGTTTGGTTGATAAATGTCGAGGATTTGATGGACTAGATGGGACAGAACTGGAACCTGCTCTCATGATATTTGGCAACGGAACAGGAGAAGATGTAGAAGAAGTCTGTTGATAAAATAATTTTTAAAAAAAAACATTAATATATATATAATTCAAAAAAATTAAGCATTTAAAATTATCAACAAAATAACAATGTCTTAAAAAAGGACGCATTGTTTAATGAACTGTTGCATGCACACCTTCCGACATTTGAGTTATGTGCAAAATATATTTATCAGTGATAGCGAACTAAAACTGAAATTTTAAAAATAAAACTCTAAAATATTTTTCAAAGCCTTTGAGCATAATGACTTGTTTATTTAACCTTTAATATATCTGTTTAAATTATTTACACAGGGAAAAAATTCATTTAATTTCAATTAATTAAAATATTGAAAAAATACCTTTGTAATCACAAGAGAAAAAAAAAAATTATTATACGAAAATTCTGCAGTAGTTGGAGGATATATATATATATATATATATATATATCTTCCAAAAATTTTATACACAAATATTTTATTTTATTTTAAATTAAAGCATATTTTTAATAATAATAAATGATTTTTTAATTGATATAATTAACTTAAAAATTTTGTTCTGGGACAAATAAGAGATGAGTTAAAGCCATTAATAGCCTTTGACGAGTGAATCAAAAGGGCAGCAAATGAGCCATTTTCACAAAAATATAAATGCTTATCACTATTTATTTATTCTATATTATCAATATTTTTGAGATCAGCTTCAAAAATTCTATATGTATACAAATTTCCAAGCCGAAAAAAATATATAAAAGGGGTCAAAAATGGAACCAAAACTGAAAACAATAAAATGAACAATAATCATATGTATTTAGTACAAAAATAACTTTTTTTATTAGAAATATATTTAAAGATATTTACTTAAAATTATGTAATATTATAAAACTATTTTAAAGATCTTGGAAACCAGTGTAAACATTTAGAATGTGGTAAAAGTATACCAGATAACTACATTACACTTATTCTAATGAACATTACATTAACTTGAAGTTAGTTTGGAATGTAAGCATAGTCTTACCATTTTATTGAAACTATTTTTGATGCCCTCATCTTCGCTTTGAGGATGAGAAAAATTAATTGTGAGATCATTCATATTGGCACTTGAGTGTATAAAATTCTCTAAAAATGAGAAATTAGTACAATCAATAGTGAGAATTAAATTTATAATTTTCTGAACATTGAATATATTAAATAAGGAATAATTTTGGATGCATGGAAAAGGGAAACTTTGAATTAAGAAAGTTTGTTTTTACAGGATGTACTGTAATGTCATAACCCTTAATGGACCGATGCTGCCGTATAAGCAGCATAGCACAGTTACTTGCTGGGTCAACTACCATGCATATGAAAGCTAAAATCATTTAATTATTTCGATCACACTGATTGTTGTGATAATTAAAATTATTTTAATCATAATTAACTATTATAATTGTACCTGCTACTGTGCTACCAAATACCATGCATATAGTGGCTAAAATCAATTTATTATTTTGATCACTTATTGTTGTTATATTTTAAAATTATTTTAATTATAATTAATCATCATAATTAAAAACTAAACTCAGCGGCGCGACAGCCCATAGAGGGCTGAGGCCTACTGTGCCTATCTCAGTTTTCTTGACCTTGGGCTATCATCATAATTAACTGTTATAATTATACCTGGCACTGTGCTACCAAATACCATGCATATAGTGGCTAAAATCATTTTATTATTTTGATCACTTATTGTTGTTATATTTTAAAATTATTTTAATTATAATTACACCTAGTAAGCTTGAAATATTAACGGACTTTTTAGAGTAAATAGACATTTTAATATTTATTTTTAAAATCTTTGAATGAATTGCTGTTGAAAAGTATTGTCATTTTAAATCCAATATTAATATTAAAGTGAGAGAAACAAAAGTTTCAAACTGTGGTGTGGTAGTTTTTTTTTTTTTTTTTTTTTTTTTTTTTTTTTTTTTTTTTTTTTTTTTTTTTACTACAAATATTCTATATTCATGTTAAAAGATGGTCAAACTTGGGGAACTTTTTTTTTACTTCACTATAATTCTTATTCTATATTCATGTTAAAGGTGGTTATCAATGAACACGCTGTATATCATTGTGCATATTGTAAGTACTTTCGAAGCTGTATTATTTATTTTATCTCAGGGAACTGAGTTTTCTGTTTTTCACATTGGTGTCAGTCCCTGATTATTAGAACTTTTTATACAAAATGAACAAATGTTTTGGGTGCTTAAAACATTTTACTATGATTCCCAGCACATTACTGGATATTAGTTTTTTTTTTTTTAAATTCTAACAACTTTGGTGACTTGGTACATGTAATTTTCCCATCCTTGTTTTCATTAATTTTTTCTTTCGTAGAATTATTTAGCATTTAATTCTTTTTCTTTTTTTTTTCAGTCTTCAAGTTTCTCTCGTTGCCAAAGGTTTTAGTTGGTCCAAATTCCAACTAAATTGACTTTAGCAGAAAATAATTTGAAAGAAAAGAATGTAGTAATTTGGAATAAAAGAATTGAATTAGTTTAGAAGAAAGGAAATCAATGATAGAGACAGAGTTACACTAATGCATCCATCGTGGCTTGTAATTATTACTTTTTAGTTTATTTTATGTAGCTAGATGTTTACATATTATAAAAAGATTATAAAATTTAAACAGAGTTCAATTTATATATCTCATACTAAAATTAAAGTATGTTTAGGCTAACCTTTTCATATTTTTCAAATTATTTTATAAAAAGCATTATTTGCAAATTTAGATTAAATGTATAATTTAGATTATATTTGTTACTTTAATTTGTTTACATCAATGTGAACTTCAAATGACTTGTAGTTACTTTCTGTAAAATAGTTGTTACTTTCTCAATTTTCAAGTCATAGAAATTTAAGTTCTCTTCGAATTGTTCTGTGAGAGATCTTTGCTTCTAAATTTTAATTTAACTCTTATGCAATTTGTAGTTGTCAATGTCCTGTTTTTATGCACAATCCACTTTAATTCTTGCCATCTCGGTTTGTAATTTTATTGAGTCCCTGTGATATTGAAGCTCTGATATTACCTTCAGTTAAATAAGCTTTATATATCATTATCAAGCTTCAGTTTGCTATTTTCAGTTGTTTTGAAATGTCACAAACTTTCGTGATGCAATTTTGTCACTTAGACACAATCTGCAACACAGTATCTTTTAAACTCACTGATATCTTTCGTTAATGAGATCATAAAACAAAAGCAACGAGTTTTACAAAGTTCTAATAGTCTTAAATTTGACTAATCAAACTCTTTAATTTGACATAAACTTTTTTTAAAGATATTAATGTTTTTGATTGTTACGACTTGCGTAAAATTTAGAGCAAAACATGGTAGGTGACAAGTCATTTGGCCACTGCGTTTAAATGTAATGCATTTGAAAACTTTTACTTGGTTTTTTCTATTCACAAAATGTGATAATAAAGAGCTTAAACGATGAATATTGCATTATTATTTAAAATTAAATATGGATAAAAGAATGTTTGTAGGCAGAGTTTTTTTTCAAATAAATTTACCTGTTTTGGAATGCGGAAGACTGTCTTTCTTGAAATGCTCTTTCATTTTTAAATGAGTTAACTTCTGTTCTATTTCTTTTAACTGAATTAAAAAAGACAAATACAATTAAATAAATTAAGAAAAGTCGTAAAAGACAATTTGAAAACCAAAAAAAAAAAATGTTTCTTCACCTTTGCAACTGCTTTTTGATGAGACAGCTTCCTCTGTCTGCGGATATTTTTCTTCAATGAGCTGTCATTGAGAAGTTTGCTTGCTGCAGCTACAATTTTATTTTGAATTTCATATTCAAGTTCTAAACGAGCTAGTTCCTCTTCCTAAAATATGCAAGACGAAATAAAAATGAGTTGGTATGTATAGAGTGTGTTATAGAATTGAAATGACTACATGATTTAAAAATAATGATTTGAATGTCACGTTTAATGACACTAGGAGAAAAGGTGGACATGCTGCTCCAAATTTAAAAATAATGTGGATTTAAGAAAAAAAATTATAAATAAAGCTAAAAAATGCATTTTTAATTTTAAAAAAATCATTAAATTAATATCACTTTCTAAAAAAGATCAGATATACTCATTAAAGGGTTACATGTATTTTTTAGGGTTTAGGTACTGAATTTGAGTTAAGGGTTTGGGTATTTTACCTAATTTAACAGTTCAATTAAGAAGAGGATATATAGAAGAATTATTTATTATTAGATAGTATGGGTGACAAAATTTTTATACATATATATATATGCTTTTTAAACAACACTGAGTAATTTAAATATCAAATATATAGCAACCAAATATTTATAAAATCCGATTTAATGCTATGCTGAAATTTTATATTTATTTACCAAATAAATGTGCGTAATTAGACTTATTGCATATATTACACATAAATCAAGAATGAAAAATAAACCTAGGTATAACCAGTTGAAGTTTAGGATAATAAATCCTCATCAGTTAAAGTTTGAAGCCATTATCTACATTCTATACAATTATTCAGACAATGACCCTTAACCTCAAAAAAAAACATCAGAGTAGAGAATACTGAGTAATAAATTTAATATTAAAAAATACTAAGCAATATCCACTTCATTTGTCTTATGAATTCATCAAACAAGAATCAAAGTTCTCATTAAGTGTTTTTAGAAGGGTGGGTTTGATCTCTATAAATGAACCCTCTTTGTCTTTTTTGTAGAAATAAGCCATTATCCCTTAGAAACACAACCTTTTTATTCACATTTCCATTTAGAATAAATTAATTAACTGATTAAATACTAGTTACACACTGGTAAAATTATCTATGTTTTATAGGTTTAATTCTGATTATTATTACAAATATTTACTTCATTACGATTAAAGTTTCTTTTTTTTTGGAGGGGTATATTAGTAATTTTTTAAGTGATTTTAAATGTTAACATTTTTAAATAAAACAAATGTATCTTCAAACATTTATTTGCTCATAATTTTCAGTTTAAATTGATAGAAAAAAGCTTTCAAGTTGTTTATCATTTAATAGTTTGTTTGTTTTTCTATTTTTTTTACGAAAAAATTATGCACAGAGATTGTCTTTTAGCACTAAATTATTTTTCAAAAGCTTCAAGGTTTTCTGTTATTTTGGTAATGAGCAAGAATAACTTTGTGAAATATATCCATAGCATAATATAAGAAGATAATGTAAAAATTGTTTATGACATATTAACCATTTTGATAAATTTTTACGGTGTTAAGTAAGTGCCCTTTCAAAGCTCGATGTGCCCTTTTCTGAGAGGAAGCACCCCGCCCTTTTTTATTGCTAGGGAGAACTATGAAAACCTATAAGTACTATCCCGAGCAAGTTATTTATGCATTATGTAACTAAATATCGCTATTGAACATATTATGCAGAGTTTATAGTTCTGATTTTTCTGATAAAAATTTTGTCCTCATTTATCCTGATTATTAGTTTCTTATCCTGATTTTCGTGTGTGTTCAGAACATACTATTTTCTAAGAATACAACTGTGTATTTTTAAAAATTAGATTTAAAGAATCGTGAAGTTTGGATTTTTAGATCCAACATCTTTTTATTTTTATTAATGATACTAGTAGAAGTCCCAAAATTTGATAGTTTTAATTTAACAGGAGCAGTCTGCTAATTATACATTGAGTTCATGCATATTGCCCTACAAACAAAATTTATTGTTTAAACCTTTTTGGGAATTCAGTCATTCTATAAAAAAGGAACTCAATTATCGAATTTTCATGATGATCAATTCAGACGTCATACGTTTATTTCTTATTCTAAGCAAATACAGTAACAAATTATATGGGGTGAACTTTTGTAGTTTCACAGTTATTCATTCAAGTCTTTCATCTGATTTTTAAAAATTATTAATTCCTTTCAGCAATAAAAATTATTTTATTAAAGAAATCTTTAACTCTATTGCTAATTTTAACTATATATTTGTAGGAAAGAATATTATCTAAGTGAGACTATTTTTTAATGCAACAGTAGTGTAATAATTTTCTATGCATCAAATTGAAGTTATTATAAGTTATTAGGTATTGATAAAATTATACTGGCAACTGTTAACCTTTCTTGTTCTAATCAAAGTGACTGAACTTTAAAAAAAATTATATTTTATCATTCTTTTGCAATAAAATTTGTTTTTACTGCACGTGAGTTGAGCAAATAACTTTTTTTAGTATATTGTTTGCTTTTTTTAAAAGTAGTCTACTATATGTATACTGTTTCAACAAATGTTCTTATTCTGTCCTGATTTTTTTTTTTTTGTAACTTTAAACTTAAACCCACTAGGATTGGAAATCCTGCTTTAAACAGGCTAAACCTAGGTTTATCTTTCTTGCTTGCTTGCTTGCTTTACCCTTGCCAATTATCCCCTTTGGGAGGAAAGACATTTGCACAGTCACCATCCTTGGTATGCATCCAGACATAATATAAAGAATACTTACATCTTTACTCTTCTTCTTCCAGAAAGATTTTTCTTTAATGTTTGTACCAGTTTTTCTTTTTATGATGGGTATTTGTTCCCCAGGGCTTAAAGGCATCTCTGGTGGAAGTGCACCTGTTAGTTCCTATGGTACAAAAATAACACCATTTTTGTTAGTCGTCAAAAAGTTATGCAAACTCATTTACCTACATAAAACTTTATTTATGAACACTTAATTATTCTGCAGAGGATAACCTACATAAAACTTTAATTATCAACAACTTAATTATCAACGCTTAATTATCAGTACTTTATTTATCAACACTTAAGTCTACCTAACTTATTTCAGATTTGTATTGTGTCCCTCTGCCCCTCCCCCAAAACCTATAAGACAATGTGAGATTCTTATGTAAAGTAGTCTTCGACGTTTTTTTGCCCTCTATTAGATTTTTCAAATTGACTCACATATTGGTTTAATTTATTGGGATCCACTGTTTCCCTATCTAATAATGTGTGAGCTTTCTGGAAAAGAATTAAGCTTAAAATTGGAACTTTCCACATTAATGAAAATGAAAGAGTTCAAACACTAATGACTAAAATCTTTGGTAAAAATTTCAAAGAACATTGCTGTAAAATGTAGGTTTTGAAATGCTGAATATGAATACTCAAAATTTTCTGATGGTAGGTAGATACTTTATTTATTTTGCACTAGAGCTGCACAAAGGGTTATTGGCGACGGTCTGGGAAACATCCTTGTGGACGATCCGAAGACATGCCATTGCAATTTTGATCCTCTGCAGAGGGGATGGCTCCCTTGCTTTGGTAGCCCGACGACCTGCGTGCAAAGTCGAGCACTTTACGGTAGAACAGTTTAACGAAGACCAAAACCCTGCACCCTCGGTCTCTATGCAGGCTGATCAAAGTGGTCACCCACCCGCTTGCTGACCAGGAATTTTCTGAAAATGCTTTATCATGTAATTGAAGAGGGAAATATCTTAAAGAGTTTAGTTGTTAAAGAATTCATCGCAATGAGTATGAGTCTCAAAAATAGTTTGTAAATTTATTAGACACAAACGAATTCCAGGAAACTTTTTGTAAAATTTAATGATAGCTATGTAGTGATATACTTAGTATAAGTGCAATTATTGAACCTACTTCATATTAAGTTGAGGTGAGTTCTTTGTTACATGCAAAACCAATGTAAAGCCGTTTCCATATAAGTTTAAATTGTTCAACAAAATAGCGTTTCCAGAAAACCATTAAAGAAACATGTAAACAAAGTGTCATTGCTTTGTAAATAAATTGAATAAAATTTGGAGCTAATTCTAGAGTTTAAGAATTACAGAGCATATTTAGTTGAGGTGAGTTATTCATCACATTCAAAACCGATATAAAGTGTTATTCATATTATTTTAAATTGTTCAACAAAATAACATTTCCAAAAAAAATTGCAATATAAAACGTCATTTCTAATTAAAAAATGTAATAAAATTTAAAGCTAATTCAGCTAAACATGATACTTACTCCTTCATTGAGACAAAGCCTTTTAAGCTCTTCACATTTTCTGCGAAGAGCTTCTTCGAGTGCCTCTTTGCGAGCCTTCAGAGCTACAAACATTTCAACAGTGTCTAATGTTTCATCACACGAATCACCTGAAACAAATTGTTTTAGTTTAATGCTAAAAAATATTGGTTGGATTAACAAAGTCAAAAGTTAAAATAAATTTTTATCTCATTCTAAATAAAGTTTTTTGAAAAAATTAACAAGTTTGAAATCTAGCATTCTTTAATTTTATAAAGGATTATATATAAAATTGTTTGAGCTTAATTGCTTTATATAAAATTGCTTATTAATTACTTATTATATATAATCCTTTATATATAAATGATTATATATAAAATTGCTTTATATAAAATTATATTATATAATTTTATATAAAGCAATATATAAAATTGCTTTATATAAAATTGCTTATCAATTACTTTTTTATATATAATCCTTTATATATAAAGGATTATGAATAAAATTGCTAAGGTCAAATGTTCCAATAAATTTTTATCTATTTCTATATAAAGTTTTTTGAAAAAATTAATAAGTTTGAAATCTGGCATTCTTTAATTTTATAAAGGATTATATATAAAATTGTTTATGAACCATGGAGTTTCAAACCAATCTAAGGTTGAGTAAACATATTTAAATAAAAATATTGAGAACGCTGAGACAAATATGTTAAATTTTATTCAAAAGTATTTTATACTAGTATTTTATTATACATGTTTCATATGTTATATCAAATATGTCAAACAAAAATTCTTGAGTTAAATGTACTCACTGTCTAATTTGAGTGCTGGAAGACTCAGAGAACTGACACTTCTACCTAGAGAAGAAGTTTCAGTGGAATAGGAACCATGGGAAAGCTCATCTGCAATATCACTAAAGTTGCGAGATGGGGATGCAGAACTCTGAAATCAATAAAAATTTTCAATATTTAAAAGTTGTAATTGAAAGGAGATCAGTATTCTGTAATGGTCTCAATTTACTAATTTGTATGTCATATTAATAATATTTAAATGTTAAATTGACAGAAACATTATCAAAATGGAGAATAATAATTGAGTAGTATCAGAACAAAAGAAAAAAAATATTTAAAATCTTCACACACAAAAAAAAAAACTCTGGGTAATTTATAGGAATATTTAAAACAAAGTAACTAATAAAGTGAACAGATTTCTTCAAAAATACTGATTTGGGATCATTTTACATTTGCTGCAATTCGATAGAATTTTAGTTTCTTACATAAATATTAATTTTTAATCTCTAATCTGCATACTTTTTTATTCATTTTTACAAAGATTTTTGAAAATGTGTACTAATTATTACCACTCTGTTGCAATGTTGTAGTGCCCCTACTGCAGAAAAATACCAAAATCTAAAAGGGCCTTAGATAGGAGACGAAAATTAGCAACTTTTTTTGCAATTTAAGAAGATTTTAAAGAAAAAATATATCAACGAATACAATATGAAAGTTTTACAACTTACTGTTAATGAAGCTTCATTGCTTATAACTAATACATTAAACCAAAATGAATAGTGCCCTATTACTCTTTTAAAAAGAACGTTTTTCCTTTTGTTTCATAATTTACAAATGCAAAGTTCAATTGTTGTTTTACATTGAAATTTAAACATTTTACTAGCAGCTGCCGCATTGTTAACCCAAATATACTATGTAATAACTTAAAGTATGAATTAAATATTTGCGAAATTATATCAATTCTGTGACGAAAAGTCGTGTTAATAAATCAGAGCCCGCGCTAAGCATTCGCCACATCGCCAAATGCGATAAAATCGTAAATTACTGAAAAATAGTGTTTTGATAAATGAGTTTTTTCCACTGGAAAGGAAAAAATATATTTAACACGATCCTCAAAATTACGTCCAAATGAATTTTTCTAAACAAATCAGTATTTTTTATTCGATTAGAGTAATTTTCAGTAGATGCGCTGCATAACCAATCAGAATTGGGTCCAAATAATATAAGCCTGAAATAAACTACCTTAAAATAATTTTCAATGGGAAAAAATTATTCATAAAATTTTTTTAAGATTTGTATTTGGCGAATACTTTTGATATTGGGTTAATTTACTGGCTACTAATTTAAAATCCTTAGCACGGGCCCTGTAAAATTATGTTAAAATAAACATTTCATAATCAAAAACAATAATAAAATTGTAAATATTTTTAATTTATAAAAGATTTATTCAAAAAGATATGCAAACTCTAAAGGGCAATTCATCTCACGAATTGAAAAAAAAAAAAAACAGAAAAATTGGTGCATATTTTTGTGGCAACCTTCATTTTGCTTGAGCTAATTATTTTACCATTGCTTGTTTCATCACCTTTATAAATACAAATAATTAGTTACAAATAAAGTTCAAGCATTGATTTGCATTGAAGTTTAAGCATTTTGATGGCAGCTAAAGCATTGTTAAGACCTCCTTACTATGTAATACCTTGTCTCATGAAATGTGAAGTAAATATTTCAATAATTATATCAATTCCTTGAAGAAAGCTCATGTCTTAATATGAAATAGTGTTAAAATAAATATTTTATAGTTTGAAGCAAAAATTAAATGTAAACTATTTTTTAATTTATAAAATATGAATTCAATAAACTGAAAATAACTGTATTCAGATGCAAATTGTAATTCACTGCAAGAATGGAAAAAAAATTGGTGTATATTTTTACGGCTTCCACTTGCAAGAGCCAATTATTTTATCTTTACAATCTACTTGTTTCAACGCTTTTTTTAATTTTATTTAAAATAAATAAATGAAAATTACTTTGTTGTGCTTCCTGTCTAAATAAAACTGGTGTTGGGATATGGCCATTGACCAAATGCATTTGGTAAGAGAAGGACTACTGGCAAACCATACATACACGCAAATGTTCCCAGATCCGAATGTCTTTCTAGAAGCAGCCAACCTACTAGGAATAATTAATAAGAGATATTAAGAGGTTACAATAATCAATAAGAGATATTTAGAGGTTACAATAATCAATAAGAGATATTTAGAGGTTACAATAATTAATAAGAGATATTTAGAGGTAACAATAATTAATAGATATTTAGAGGTAACAATAATTAATAAGAGATATTTAGAGGTTACATAGAATTAATAGGATATTTAGATGTTACAATAATGAATAGGAGACTACATGTATGTGTTGAGGACATTGAAACAAATAATCACCTTTTTGGATCATATACTTCTATAGAAAATTTTCTGTCTCTGAAGTACAGGTTTTCTAACTGCTTCCATAGAAACAACTAAAATAAACAAATTTCAACAATTAAAGTATTGATGCAATAAGTTATTTAAGAAATCATGCTGTACCCGTTGTATTGTACACATTTAAAGGGCTTGCTGTCAAAAAAAGCAGTTGTATTTTACTATTTACTTTTTTAAGATGATAAGAATTCCCAATTTTATTCATTGTACCAGATGAATAGAGCATATATTACACTATCAAATCCACTTTCTTTTCTTTTTTTGCTATAAAGATTAGATAAATACTGAGATAGCCAAATGCATAGAAATGAATTAGAGCTAGCTACTTCTGTTTTGAAGTTTACAGCAAATACTTCAAATTATAATATATATGATATCATTTAAATCCCTTTGACAGTTTAAAAATAGAAAATACTAGACGCTTAAAAACAAAGATATATAATATTAAAATTGTTGTTTCAAACTTACTTTTCTAGGAACTTTACGGTCTGAATAATCGTATTGGCATATCCCTTTATAACTAATGCCGAGCCACCAAGGAATTCCAGCCTTGTCCTAAAATAGAATAATAAATCAACACTGTTCTTTACTCACATGCAAAAATCGAGATTTTTAAAATATGCGGTAAGATTTATAAAAATGCAATAGTTAAATAAGCTGTGTGTAACTGTGTAACAAGGATTTTTTTTAAATATTTGTTTCATAATCAATAAATAATTAAACAGACAATGAATTGTCTGTTTAGTCATTTGTATTATTACATATTTAACACACCTGTGTTTAATCCTAGTTTTAGTCTATGGAAATGGTGGTCATAACTGTGAACATTCTTTTTTAAATAACAAGGTTAAATAACTATTTTATGTTTTATTAAATAACTATTTGATTTTATTAAATATTAACAATTATTTAATAAAATTATTAATTAGTATTAATTTTATAATATTAATTATATATATTAATTAATTAATTTTAATAAATATGCTATTAAGTAACTTATTCATGTATATGATCTGAACTTCTATAACAGTATCATTACTTAAGCTCAGCTCTATTAAAATAAGTATAAATTTAGTTTACGATTTATTTTTTTTAATCATTATTGAAATTCTCGCTTTAACTTAACAGCATCGCATTTATTGAAATATTTTTAAATTTCTGAAGGGTAACGTAAATGAAATTGCTTTGTTATAAAATTTGTTTAATTTTAAAAAAGTCTAATTAAAACTCAAAATTACCTTTACTTCATAATAATGCACGCCATATGTGGGAAGAGATTCAACTATTCGCATATAACTGAAAAAAACAAAGAAATGTAGTTAATAATTCTTGAAACAATCATGGTTGCTTTGTAGTATAAAACTTTGATAGTTACTTTACTATTGCTGAACCTCTAGATTGGCCTTGTATTGATTTATACTGCTCTAAAACTCTTTCTTCGCTGAAATGAGAATTTTAAACAAGACAAATAAAAATCAATATTTTAAATTGAAACAAGGTTGTTTCAAACGCATTAAATATAAAGAAATTGAATTAACAGAAAAGTTGCAAATTCTAATTGTTCTGATGAAATTCCGCTTTTAAGCCCTCTGCAAAAGAAAAATTGTGTACTTGACCAAAATAATAAAGTTCGCAGTTATTTTGATGGCTATCTTTAACAGATATCCTATTATGCTGACCTTCCTACCAGATATCTCAAAACTGACCGACGATTTTAAAAAGGAAATAGACCGAAGTTTATATTTTACTGCGTTCTGCTAAGAAAACGAGATTTTCTTCTCACCTCGTTTCGAAATTAGTTACAAAGTTTGTCAACTCGCAGCGCTGGTGTTTGGAAATCTATAAAACAATTTTTTGCGGCATGACAAAACTCCATTCCAACTAAAAAAAAAACTATTCTTTAGATTCATCCTAGTCGCAGCAATATCTGTTTACAAGTTTTATAAACAATTTTCGAACTTGAGGAGAATTAAATCTTTTTTTTCCTTAGCATTCTATGTACCGCAGTCAACCGTGTATCATCTTTCTTTTTCTTTAAATGATTTTTCAAATTGTTGGCCATTTTCGGGATGTATTTGTTAGCCATAAAATTCTTTCGTGATTATAAAGATAAACAAATCCATTAAGGATTAATATTTCAAAAATAATTTTTTTTAAAGTTTATAACGTGACAAATGATTTGATGTAAAATATATACCCGTCACGGATATGATTATGTTATTAAATTATTATTATTCAAATAAATTGGCCCAATAACAATAATACTTACCAAACAGGCAAAGAGGGGTGGTCACGTAAAGCACTTGTTGGTAGAACAGGTAATTTTTTCAACTGTTGTTTAGCTACATCATCACTATTGAAAGAGAAAAAATCCGTTTAAGAACCGAAACAAACACACAGAAGAAGGGAGTTTAATATTATTCAACCACTACAAGTTGGCGTGTGCAAAGTGAGAGTTAAGCTCACTGAGAAAGTTTATTCCAGCTATGCAATAAAGAATGTCGAAGAGAAGCGGGAATTCGAGCGAAAGTGATTATTGACTTCTTATTTGGTGTATTGTGGAAAACAAATGAATAAAAATCTAACTTATTCAAGAATCCTTCAGAGCCAAGGAATCAGAATATCATGCTAGTTTCTCGCCTAAAGAAATGCGCTTATATATAGATTTCACGCGACTTAACTGTAACCACCAATGAAAGAGTGAACTCTTAGACTATCTGCCAACTTGTCGTAGTTTAATAACATGCATCTGTGCTTGTTTATTTTTAAAACATTTTGAAAGCAACAACCTAATATATATAAAATGTAGATTAACATTTCGGTTGAAATTTGGGTCATAATGAGTTAAATATTAAACTAAAAATCTTATAATTATTAGAATTAATTATGTTAATCTTTAAATTATAACTCTTAATCTTCAAATCAGTCCACTTAATTTCCATACAATTTCATATGCATTTACGGAAGCAAAAACCTGAAAATATAAACTAAAACTCTTATGAATGATAAAAATATATTGACGTATGTATATTAGAATAAGACATCCCAATAAATTGAAAGGCTTAAAGAAATAGAATGATAAACTACAATTTCAAATTATGCAGATGCTTTGGAAGAAGTGTGACTTACTGTCACTCATGCTCTACAATTCCTTTACAATAACAAAACTTTTTGTTAGACAAATACTTTGGTTTTCCCCTTAAGTTTAAGTTTCGTTAAGTTTAAGTTTCCCCTTAAATTTAAGTCTTATTGAAATTTTTATTTAATTAATAATAATATTATAGTATGTAGTTTGGGATCACATTCTTTGTGACATATCAAGAAATAAAAAATAGTTTAAAATAAATTGAAAAATGAAAATCGTTACTTTGTAAATGATCCATGAGTAACTTGGAGGACTAGAGCGGCTAATTGAAAGGCTTTGTCAGAGTTTACTTCAATGAAACCCTGAAATATTGAAAAAGGAAACTATCAGTGATTCAGAATTTAATTAGAGTCGCAGTGGCTATGGAGATAAAGTGTTCGCGACCCAATGAGGTGACCCAGGTTCAGATACCACAGGTGACTGGTTGATGCAAATTCTACTCAATATACTACTCTACAATAATGGAAGAGACACGGTCATTTTTTTAAAAATATTTTTTTGAATTTCTCAAAAATTACATAAAGGACTGTTTTGTAACTTTTTAGTTCATGCGTTTCATACTTTGCAATTAAGTTTAAAGCTTTCAGAGTTTTAAGAGACCGACAATAAATTACGAAAAAAAAAATAGTATTTTTGAACACCCTATGCCGAAAAATCAAACAATAAGTTTGTAACCTGTATCAATTACTTTGGTTGTTATTTTCAATAACTGCGAATTTTTTTTAAAGAAAAAAACTCTTTTTTTTTTGCTATAAATATTAAAAGTATTCAGAAAAATTAAATAAAAGTTTTGGAGCAATTTTAAAATATTTACAAAAATTATTGTTTCAAAATTTAAAAAAAAAATATAAAGAAATGCACAAGATATGACTATTTAAAGTAGTTCTTTTGTACTGCGCATGCATGGAAAAAATTTAAAATATTTTTTCATAATTTTGTAGTGAATCGTATTTCGCAACTAATGGAGAAAAAAATTGATTTAAATATCTTAAAAACGTTGAAAGGTTCAAGCAATTTTCGAAGTAGTTTTTGTATTTTTTAAAAGAAAGCTCAAAACGATAAGGGTTATTTCACATAGTGATGTTGTTCTTGTTGTCCGGTTATTATAAGGTAGTGTAATTTTCAACAGTATATAAGTATATAATAATATTTGTGAAAGCTAGCTCAAATATATGTAAATGGAAACTGATTTAAGCTCGCTAGGCTAAAAATAGAGCTTTCTTTGCCTTAAGCTGGCTAGTGGATACAGGATATTATAACATATAGATCTTTAAATCACATAATTGCAACATTAACTAAACTACATCTAATAAAACAATGGTAAATGCTCTAACTTACATTATAGACTAGAGATTGGGTTTGCAGGAAAAATGCTTCAACGGTCGCACTGTCACGTAGGTGCGTGATGCTTTCTACAAAATACCTGTGGGAAAAAAGTGCGTGCTATACTAAAAATTAATTTCATGAAATCTATTGTTTAGTTTTATGATTATCTAGTATTTTAAGAACCAATAAAAAAAATTCAGTTATAAAAATTTTACACGTTAATTTCGTGTTTCATTATCGAACTTAAAATGGTTTCGAATCGAATCGAGTGAGTGATGAATTTTCTAAGTAAAAAAAGCCGAATTTTCTTTTTGGAAAGAAAGCTTTATTTCTCTATAATTATTTCTTATTAACTTCAAAATTTTCTTGTTAACTTTAAATTTAGACGTAAAAATACTGTGTCATGAATATGTTTTACCTATTTTAAACAGACACTTAATTTAACAAAATGAAATTAGTGCTCTATAACGACACCCTTCATACGCATTTCAAGAATCTTTGTCAAAAATAAAGACAAAAAAAAAATCTAAATTACGGTTTACAAATTAATATTCAAGCCCGAAAACGAAAAACGCAATTGAAATCTAACAAAAATCATCTGAGGAAAAAAAAGGATTAAAAACGTGTTTGATTGCCCAAGGAAACAGAAGAATTAAAAGGTGATTGTTAGAAACATCTTCAAAATCGTCCACCAATTGGATATTTGCCAGCGACGTCAAGCGTTGGTCAGCCAATCAGGTTCGATACACAAACGTGACGTCACTCGCAGGCATCCAATTAAATCTATTCCGAAAATTGATTCAGCGTGAGATTAAGCCCAAGCTACAACGTTAACACGTCATTCACTACCACATTATTATACACAGCCATGTGATTAATTGCAAGTACCCAATTAAACAAGTTTTAGCATTTTCGATGCCTTCTTCTTCAATAGTGAACAACTTTAAATAAGTATGTTTCTATATTTTTAAAAAAAATTTGTTTGATACGGTTAGCTTAAGGGAGAAAAGGAGAAGTACACCTTACTTGATACTGAAATAAAGTACTAGAGTAGACTGGGCAGACTTCTTCGGAAATTCGTGTTCCAACACTCGTCGGTCTAGCTGTAACCAACTATAATGACCCCTAAAAACAAAGTTTGCGTAAATTAATATTTTTGTTTTTATTTTGGCAATATTTTGACAAAGAATTTTTTACCCCAGTTCTAAGATGGAAGTTAATGGGAGTTCTACAACTATATTGGAATAAAAAATGCCTGCTCTACTAGACAAAAAAATATTAATTGAAACATTTTGAGTTTTTGCAGATTTGACATCCTCCCCATTTGAAAAAAGAAGAAGTAGGGGTTTTCATCACTTCAACGTTCAGTCAAATGTAAAAGCAAAAAGATGACTAACAACAACCACAGAAAGCATCATTAAAAAACTTATCATGCGCTTTTCGATTCTTATGTATCACGTGAAGGATAACACTCCGGGAAAGAAAAAAATTTCAACTAATCCATAGTTCAGGAGAATTTTTTGCCATTTAATGTTTTCTCTGTGGAATTTTTGTCGAATAATTAATTGTTCAGGGGGAATTTTGCCATATAATTTACTGTTCAGTAGAAATCTTGCCAAGTAATCGACTGCATAGGAAAAATTTTGCGCAATAGCTAATAGCACCAACGGTGCATTTAGATTTTTCAGGCACCATTTCAACGTCAGCGCATGGTGAGGGTTGACTGATATAACAGCAAAGGAAAAACAAATAACTTCGATTTGTGATTAAATGGCCAGTGAAATTATAACAAAATTTAATTTAGTTCAAAAGTATTAATGTGAGGAAAGAAATTTTTTTTTTAGTGAAAATCAGAATAAAGTTCAACTCAAGTGTTAACAAACTAATCATCGCTAACTGAACATAACCGAACAGAACGATGAGCGATAAAGGAATAAATAATAAAGTTACTTAATTATTCAACGTTGATAAATTAAGTTTGAGCTCCATTGCCAGATTTACATTTCCCGGTATGCCTTACACTAGCGTTTTTTAAGTTTCTGTGCTATTGACCGGTATACCATATAAAAAAGTTATATTTTTAAGCATAGCTGGCAGCAGAACCTACAATCAGTTAATGTTTTCAAATAATAATTCTGGTTCATCTATTGCGAGTACCTGACCACATGTGGTGCAAATGGCTTTAAGACAACAAACGCACCAGTCGCGCCTTTAACATCGATCGAGATTTTACTAAATAAAGCCCAGATAATTCTTCACGGCAAGATTATATAGCATATAGTTTAAAATCATTGCAATGCTTCAAGTGTAAGGTACTTAAACTATGGCTATTTTTATTTTCCTTGGCGTCAGAGCTTCGAGAAACAGCGTTAACATTTTTTGCTTCATCTGAATGGGTAGTGATAAATACTCCTACTTCCATAATGCTTCAAAATATGATTAAATCATGGAATCGTGTCAACTTTTTGATTTACTTTCAAGGGTAACATATTCACTATTTTCTACTAAAATATGAATTTTCAGTTAAGTATTGGAAAATTGACGATCATCAATCTTTAAGCAAACACAATTAAAAAAAACTGTAACAAAAAATAAATAAAAAGATTCGTATTTTTTCTTAGCTCCAAAGTTAAAATTATAGTTTTATGCTACTATTTGGTTTCACAAACAACAAACAAAATTAACTAATTATAAGGTAATAAAAGAAGGTTTGAACAACCTTTAATAATTTTGAAAAATATTACGCTAGGTAGTTATTCTAACGTAATTACGAAACCGGAAAAAAGTTGCTATATTTATTGCTCAAACATTCATATAATGGTGTTAAGCACGAAAAAATGTAATTTTCTATATTTTTCTTGCCTTAAAGTTAGAATGAGTCCACTTTCAAGGATATTAAGGGAAATGGGAATAAAGGAGTTAAAAATTTAAGCACGCTTTTAGGGAAACATTTAAAGATATCTTCGCATCATCAATTTTAAAGTTGAAACTTACGACCTCTTCTAACTACATGGCAATTATTTTGAGAATTGTACGCAAAATTTTATTAAGACTTAAAAATTAACAGAGTTTGCCAACAAAATAATCGTTCGAAAGGGAAAAAAAAGAGGTATAATTATTTTTAATTAATAAGGTAATATTGTTCTTTGAAAAGAAACTTTATTTTTTCTTGGGGGAGAGGTTAAAAATATAAAGTTTTAATTTGGAACAAATTAGATTGTTTAATAACAAAATATAGCCACAATCTGAAAAATATAGACCCACTAATAATTTAATTTGGAAAGCAATTCGCTGATTAAATGAATAATTTAAGAAACTGAAGCTGTGAGACATTACTTGATTAAAAACTTTATGTGATTTTAAAATATACAAATTGGAAATAGTGGTAAAAATGTTTCAGGAGCTCCAAAACAGACGCCCATTTTCAAGACTTGTCAGGTGTGATTTGGAAACATTTTATTTCCATTAATATAAAATATATATAATTATTAATCTATTTAATTATTTAAAAATATATAACCTATTAATAAAATTATTTCTACCTCATCTTCGTCTTTGAATTTTTAAAGCATTTTAGAACGCTTATTTCTTAATTTTAAGCTTCTCAGAACACTTTATTTCACATAGGCATACATAGTAAACTTTAGGGTCACGCTGTGTATCAGTTTATCTTGGTACTCTGAAATCTGGTATTATTCGTGTGAATTCTTATTCTCACTACCTCTTCATAGCGCTTGAAAATACATTTTACCCTAATTTGCCCCTTTCGGCCACTGTGGTTTTTCTTGTTCTATTTATGATTTTTTCCCCTCTAGGATGCTGCAACTTCGTTGGCAACTTAACGTTTTATATTTCAAATCACTTATGTTTCATCTCATTCACGTTTGGCAATTCTTGAAAATTGGCCCCTATTTTTGTACGCTTGAAAAATGCTGACTGTTGTTTCCAATTTGTATATTTGTAAAGCGAATGAAGATTTTAATTAAGTAACAATTCACTGTTTACCTATTCCGGAGAGTCTAATAAACTATTGGAGTAAATCAAAAATATTTTACGCTTACTCATAAAATACGTTTCTCTAAAAATAATTTTGTACAAGAATAGTTAAAAAGTTTTTTTTATTCAATTTTAATAATGGTATAATTTTTTTCACCGTTAGATATAAAAGTTTTGCTCATTAGTTTAACGTTAAATCAAAATCTGTCACACAATTTAACGTGAAATAAATTTTAGAAAAAGTTACATTTTCAACTTTTCATAACTGACCTATTTTTCAAAAAAAAAAAAGTATTTTGCCTTTAAATTTATTTTGTTTAAAACTTAACTTATATAAAGTTTTATGAAATGCCAAAATTTTTTTTAAAGCTACATCTTAAAAATAAAAAAAATAAAAATCAATGCACTATTTAATTCTGTCACTTGGTAAATTTATCTTAAAAGTCAGGAAATGAACAAAATATCATCAGAAAATAATTTCGGAAAAATTATTATTTAAAACTCACACGATTAGACTTGATTTCTGAAATATTGCTATTTTACGGTCGCAATATTCCAGGTAGTGATTTTGAAATGTTTGAAACTTGTATGTCACTATTTCTAGAAAATAGTTCATTGAAATGCTAGTTTTAAAAATATGAGTTGGGAATTCTGTTAAATGATAAAAATTACTCATAGTCACAAATAATAATTATTCTAATTAAAAGCAAATTTCAGGCTGAAGCAACTTTTCATATCGCCTCAAAAAACGTAAAATTCACGACAAAAATTACATTTAGTCATCGATAGTTTGCATGATAAAACTATAAATAATCATTGATGAGATGTATGATAAAACTAAAAATAATCATTCGTAACATGCACGGTAAAACTATAAATAATCATATGTAACATGCATGATAAAACTATAGATAATCCTTGATGACATGTATGATAAAATAAATAATCATTGATAACATGTAGGATAAAGCTATTAATAATTATTGATAACATGTAGGATAAAGCTGTAAATAAGCATTGATAACATGCATGATAAAACTATAAATTATAATTTGTAATATACACGATAATAATAATTAATATATTTAATTTAAATAATATAAAATACCGTTTTCTTATTTAGAATAACAGTCCTGTCGCATCAATAGAAGGATTGTTAGTTAAAAATTATAACACTTTTAAATCTTATTCTACAGCTGTCTTGTTCCAAACACTTAAAGAACTGAAACTGAATAATCCATTTTTGTCACAAGACGTCTTTTTGGGACCGCGTGCGATCTGTTTATCCTGCTTCCGGTGACTCAAATGAACCTGCAGACGGGCTTGATGTCATAACGAGAAAGTGCAGAGCCCCCAACAACGATTACGTAATCATTAAGGGGTGGGCTGCCTAGAATGAGAAATTGAGGGAAGGATTCGCGGACATGTGTGGAAATTCGCAGGTTTCTGAATCATTATCTACCACACTACCCATGTGAACATTCACTCTATTAACCTACCTTTGCAGTTAAATCGAAGATAGAACGCCAGTAATAGAACATTTCATGGAACTTTCACAAATATTTTATTTCTTGTAAAAAAGTTATCTTTAATGTTTAATTGAGGAAGTCTAAAAAATTTTTCCATAATTAAATGTCCAAGTTGTTTTATAGTTGAAATGATTTTTTATAAAGAAAAAAATATATATCATAAGAAAATATCTCATAAGAAAATAAGAAACTCTCATAAGAAAATATTTCAAAATATTTTTTTGATTAAAATTTTAGGGCATTTTTATAAAGTTTCGTATTATTTGTTACTCGTATTTTTAAATTAGAACATTTTTGAAAAAAAATTAAAGAACGCTTTTTCTGACAATTAAAATTGTTTAAAACAGCAACATTTCTCCGATATGATGAAGTTTAAGAACGTTCAACGTTAATAAAATAATGTGCACCGAATTATTAATATGAAGTAATAAATCACATTTACTAAACTTTCTAAGAGAGCGTTTTTGATGAGAAAAAAACCACGATTTCCATCCATTCAGTCAATAAGATGTTTCTGTACTTTGAGATATTGTCTAGCGAAAATACTGTGTACACGTAAATACCTATCTTGAAACAATACCAAAGTACAATTCTATATAAAAATGTCGTCTTGGAAAAAATGTGGCTTAGCACCATACTACTCCAGGTCCTTCATAAATATTATTGCTCTAATTAAATCTACTTTAATGCTCTAACTAAAACTAAACTTTTATTCATTCCATAACCATATATTTACTGTTTTCAGTTTATTTTCTATATCCATAATTTTATTTTATGATTTTAAAACATGTTGATTTCTAATATAGCGTGTCTAATAATTACAAAAAAGGCATCTTTGAATTGTTTTTCACTTTTAACAACATATTTTTAATTATGAAATCCCTTATAAAACTTTAGCCTTGAAATAATTTGTAATCTTCACTCTTTTAATGAAGTATTATAAAATGATGTTATAGTCTCAAAGCGTATTTTTTTTAAATAAACGTACAGACCCGAATCAGCAAGTGTTGGTAATGATAGTCAACCGTAGAGATATCCAACTTATGTGGTTGAACTAGATCAGTTAATCTTCATCAATGTATCAGTTGTCAGTGTCTTCTGGCTGCTAACGGAAACAATTTGGTTTCCCCATACTCTCTTTGCTATTGCCAATTAATTAATCAACTGTAAACGATTTAAAATAATCAAAGAAAAGTAAATTTGAGATACTTCAGTTGGCATATCTCTGAAAAGCTCAAAATTCTGGAATAAAAATAATACAAAATATCTTGAAACCGCAGCGCTGTATGCTGACATAAATTGTTTCACGAAGCGGACTAAATGTTAGGATTCGAATGTTTTCCAGCGACTAGACTTAAGAAACTTTAGTTTTGATATCTCTAAAAAGGTTAAAATTTTGGTATTAAAAAAAAATTCCAAATTATCTTGCAACGGCAATGCAGACTGTTGACATAAATAGTCCCAAATTGCAGACACATCTCAGTAAGTGTTAGAATAGAAATGTTATCCAGCTACCTGACTTAAGAATTCCCTTTGGTGGAAAAAAATTGCAAGGATTATATTCTACAGTAGAAAATAATCCTAATAATACTACAGCAATTAAAAGGGATCAGTATATTAAGATATGACATTGATATATGAAGATGATCGAGCTTGTTAAATTATTACTTCAATTGTTTTTTTAACGATGGTATATAAAATGAATGGTAATAATAATAATAAATGTACCATGTACCGTAAATTAAAATGTATTTTAAATTTTTTAAAAAAAAAATTTCTTTTTCTATACTTTTTTTTTTATAGTTTCACATGCTAGAGCTAAGTGTCGCGACAATTAAATAATAAGACAGTAGAGTAAATGAAAACTATAAACATTTTATTAATAAAGCAGTAATATGATATTTAAGAGACACAGACATAAAAAACTAAGCCTACTTCAAGCGATATAATGAAAGGGAAATTTACTTCTACATTTCATGCTTATGATAACCTTAAAAATAAGAGTCTCCACATATTTTTTTCCCCTAATTAAAAATGTGAACTATAGTATATTAAAGATTGGTCGATATTTTTTCTCTTACCACGCTGAAAAGTTCTATAAACATTACATAATTATCAATCAAAAATATTTATTCTGCTCAAAGTGTAAAAACTTAAACTTGATGGACGATTACGTCCATCTAGCATTCAAAATATTTTCCTAAAACGCAAAAATTTTCGCTCCAAGTGAAATATTAATACCCTATCTTCGATATCCTCAACTTATTAGAAAAACAAGTGAGATAAGATCATATTCTATATATGACAGGAAACTCGTAAAGGAAAGTAATTCCCAAATATTGCAGGATGTGAAGGAGGGTTGTCTAGGTAACGGAAGTACCATGCGGGAGTCAGCTGTTCGGACATGCACCCTTCACACAAGAATGCCATTCAGAATCCTGTATCCTTATATAGTAGCAGGTAGTAAAGTGTGTACACACATAAAAAAAACCGGAAGATATGGGAATAAATAAACATAGGAAAAGTAAGGGACTTTTTTAATTTGAGAAATTTTAGAAGTTCCGTAAATCTTTAGGAAACAATTTCGATGCACAAGTCAAAATGGTTTGGGTATTGTTGCGCAGCTGCTGTGAGAAGTGGTGGAATTAAAGACCACGCACAAGATTGAACTACACTAAATTATAATTTAGTAATTATTTAAAATTTTAAATAACCGATTTCAATTTAAATTTTTAAATAATCGATATAAAAGTAAATTGAAATCAGTTACTTAAACCCCAAATGATTTTTTTAAAGATAACACACCTAGAAATTGAAAAAAGGAAAATGTTTAGTTACCATATATTTGAAGACCGTCATTCAAAATCCTTTTATTCACTTTCTATCTTTAAAAAAAAAATCACTTTTACCTACTTTTTTTCTTTAATATTTTCCCAATTTCACTACCCACTTTTCAAAGGTTATACTAAACCCCTTAATTAGGGACTTTTCACACAGTTTGACCTAAAGCATATATATCGTCACCCCAAACAAATGTTCCAAAGATCAGAAATGCATTTAATCTTAATTCTCCACTTTAATTATAAGAAAAAATAAATTCAACAAACAGTAGAATTAAAATAAATATAAAATTAAATAAGTTAAAATTCAAATTAAATTACGATGGAAGTTTAAAGGCATTGTAACAATAAAAAAAGAAGTAGCATATCAAACAAAACATTTTCCTTCTTAAATAACTTGAAGTTAGTCCATTATAGTTCGTATAGTCCTTAAGTCAAATATTTTACAATAAGAATTCATGTAATAACTTTATTTATCTAAGCAACGATGAAATGAATATGGATGATAATATTAGCCTTGAGTAATATTTAATAAACCTTTATAATAGGCATAATATTAAATTGGTTTCTAAACATCATTGTAAGTTACAAAAGCTTTATTATATTAGAAATAAAGTCTACTTTTAAATAAAGATTGCACAGAAGCTATAGAATAGCAATAATTGCTATAAATGTATTTTTATTTAAATAATAAAAACAACAATATTGGGAATCCCTCTTGCTTATCACTGTGTTTTTTAGCCTCATATGAAAAGAACCAGTTCAAAAATAATCCAGAATTATGCAGTAACGTTTTAGATTTTTTAAATTACATTAAACTTAGTCTGAATAATTACCCAAGTAGCACAATTCACAAAAACGATATCGTAAAAACTTAGCTTTGAAAATTGTACAATATCGTAGCGAAACATTGTACTATATAAAAATGGATCCCTTTTATAACGTATATTCAATATCGCGAAACAATATTGTTCGATATTGTAAAAACGTTGGGGAACGTCGTTCGATGTCTCTCAGCATTTCGGATATCTCTAAATTTATATTTTAATTTAATTTTTGGAATTATAACAATTTGACGTCTTTTTTTTTTTTTGTCTTTTAAATGATTAATTTTGATTTAAGAACACAATAAAGTTAAAAATGAAAAGTTTTACAAACAGACTTTTAATGTGAAATCGACGGTAATCGTACAATATCGTACACACAATGTCGATTTTCGCCAATATTGACAATGTCGATCGATGTAGACTAAAGCTGTTACAATATCCCTGTGCTACTTGGGTATAGTAGTAAAAGCAAATATACATAAAAAAAATTATATTTATTATTCATGTCATTACTATTCATGTATTTTTATTTAAATAATAAAAACAATAATATTGGGCTAATCAATGTTTTTTTAGGCCACATATTAAAAGAGTCAGTTTAAAAATAACTCAGAATAATGTAGTATGTACTTTTTTGAAATTATATTATAATATATCTGTAGGAGCAAATATGCATATAAAATGTATATATCATACTGTAGTTAGTTAAGATATGCTGTTCCAGTTTTTTTATTTATTATTTAAATCGATATATAGTTTAAAATTTTTATGAAAATATATATCAGTTGAACCTATTTTAACATGTATTATAAGAGAAGTAACAAAGGAATAAGTATAATACGTAAACAGAAATTATACGTACGTGTCGTCCACATAAGCAAGACCGAAATATTCTTTCTCTTTCAGACTAAAATGAGAGGCAACCATGTCTAGGAGTTCACCAGCATATAATTTTGGCTGAAAGTATAAGACCTAGTTTATTAAAAATGTTAGATAAACAACAGTAAATAATATGTCCTAATTTATCACATTTTAAAAATAATAATAATAACAATTAAAATAGCAAAAATAATTAATTACCAACAACATAACTTTTTAGAGTATATTTCATGGTGACGTCATGTTCAATTACTTTTCTTTTTTAACAGCTAATTGCTGTAAGACAGATAATGTGGCATAAATATCGTTTCATCTATTTAGTTTCTTCTCATAGAATATTTCATGGTGATGTTTTGTTTATTATTAAATTGAATCTTGGAAAGCCATCTGGAAACATTTTTTGAATTCAAACTATGGTGTGACAACGGATACGTTTTTTACGGCATTTTTCAGTTGCCAGATCCATGTTACAATTGAGTAAAAGCGATTGTATGTATGCAGAAATCACGCTATCAAGCTATGCAGAAATCACGTGATACACAACACTCAATACTGCAGTAGCAATTATTTATTATTTAAAATACCTTTGAAGATTATGGAACTATTCTAGAAAAAACGAACAATCGCACAACTTTGTATTTGAAACAATTTTTTCTTCTTCAGAAATTTAATTAAAAAACTCTGTAAATTACATTAAAGCATGATAGGACACGTTTTTTAACAACTTTTACTTAATAGAATCTTTTATAAATACATTTATTCAAATTTATATTATTTTCTCTTTATCTTTTATATCTTTCTCAGAAATAATTTTAACAAGCTGTACTACATAGATATCCGAAGAAAAAAAAGTAAATAAACAAAAATCTACGTTATCTTTTCCTTGGGCCCCCGGGTAAAAAACTTTTCTATAAACAATTTTGTTTTTTGGGGACACAAAATAAAAATAAAAAGTATTCTTTGCTGTTCTTTATAACTGAGCGAGATAAAAATATTCGAAAAAGATTAATTTTACTTACATCTAACCTTTCGGATTCGTATTTAGAAATGTGTAATGTCTAAGCTAGGGGGTAATTCCAATAATAACTTCGATTTACCAACTTTAACCATTTATCTTTCAACATACGACCGATAACTTTCTTTCTTTGTTTTTAAAAGAAAATTGAAATTGATGAAACGTGAATTAAGAACACAAAGTTTTAAAATAGTTTCGTTTGGTCAGCAAATAAAACAATTCGTGATTTTATTGGAAAATTTATCTTTACTCTTTAAAAATAAAATACTTTTAAAAACTGAAAGAAATATTTTAAAGATATTTGGCTGACAGCATCATTTTTCAAACTTTTTTTTTTCTGAATGTCGACTTACTTGTTCGGCTAATGATTAAAAAAAAAAAAAGAAATTGATAGTTTTCTAAATTTAACGACGCCGTTTTTAAACTTCTGAAAAATTATATATCTAGCGATATTTTAATGAAAGCGATTTTCCGTAATCATATATAAAAGTCATTTTTAAAGTCATAAATAACTGATCTTGCTGATAAAACGTTTTACTAATCACATAACTTTGCAAATCATTTAAAATTGTTTTTCTTGCAATAAACAAAACAAAATAGAACTCTTAGCGAGAAAAAAAAAATTATATGTGTTCTGATAGAAGATTCAATTTTATACAAATTGAAAAAAAAGAGAGAAAAAACGTTATCTACTTGTATGTAGTTCAGGTTTGAAATACGATTAAAATGTCACACATTATCTATAAGGTTTGCTAATGTAAGTTAAGAATAACACGAGGTCCCTCAAGTATTCAGCTTATTGGTCATCATTGCACGAAGGTCCTGCTCAGTACTTAATCATTCGAAACTTAATCATTCTGGCAACAGTGGACACCCGGCTCTTCACGTAATGTCCAGAGGAAAGAAGATTACCAATAATTAACTCACTTAAAGAAAATACCAAGTTGTATTAAGGTCGGAAGGAAATAAAGTAACTAATAAGTAACTCACGAAAGCAAAATGTTTTATAAAATAATTTTCAAGCATAGAATTTTTTGTTCGCAAACCGTAAAGAATGTTAGATATCTTAAACGTCTACAAGTTGCATTTGTTACACGTGACGTCAAAAGGAAAGGAGGCAACTAATAATTAACTTAATAAAATAAAATGCTTTATAGAATAATCATCACGCACAGAACTTTTTGTTCCCTAACCTTAAGGGAAGTTAGCAGCTTCAAAAGTCTACAAGTTGCATTTGCTTCACGTAACGTCAAAAGAAAGAAAAAAGGTAACTAATTCACTCACATGAATAAACTGCTTTATAAAGCACAGATTTTTTTTTCTTCCTTAATCTTAATAGGAATGTTCAATATTTTAAAAATTCTACAAGTCGCATTCGCTCCACGTAACGTCAAAAGGAAAGAAAAAGGTAACTAATTCACTCACTTAAATGCTTTTTATAAAGCGCATATTTTTTTGTTCCTTAATCTGAATAGGAATGTTCAATATTTTAAAAATTCTACAAGTTTCATTCGCTCCACGTAACGTCAAAAGGAAAGAAAAAGGTAACTAATTCACTCACATGAATAAAATGCTTTATAAAGCACAGATTTTTTTTTTTTTTTTTTGTTCCTTAACCTTAATAGGAATGTTCAATATTTTAAAAATTCTACAAGTTGCATTCGCTCCTCGTAACGTCAAAAGAAAAAAAAAAGGTAACTAATTCACTCACTTAAATAAACTGCTTTATAAAGCACAGATTTTTTTTGTTCCTTAATCTTAATAGGAATGTTCAATATTTTAATAATTCTACAAGTTGCATTCACTCCACGTAACGTCAAAAGGAAAGTAAAAGGTAACTAATTCACTCACTTAAATAAAATGCTTTTTATAAAGCATATATTTTTTTGTTCCTTAATCTTAATGGAACGTTCAATATTTTAAAAATTCTACACTTTGCATTTGCTCCATGTGACGTCAGAAAGAAAAAACGTAACTAATAATTAATTCTCTTATATAAAATGCTTTATTAACCACAAAACTTTTTGTTCCGTAATCTCAAGAAATGTTCAGTATTTTAAAATCTCCACAAATTGCCTTAGAATTATCTAAAATTTCGATTACAATATTAATTTATTGTATTTTTATGAACTGCTAAACTGTTTTGCAAGATAGCGGCTCAGGCTTATAACATAGGCTCATGAAAGCCACCAAATGGCTCTCATGAGGACAGATAGCAGCTCTTATGTGGAGAACATTGTGATCTAGTTAATGAGATGTATTTTAACAAATCAAGTGCAATAGCGGTGATTTGTACATATTGAAACGTGACTTTAATAGAAGTTTCCATTAAAGTCACGTTTATTTCTTTCGATCTCATTTTTAGGAAAAGGAGGGGAAAATATTAATGAAGTTGGAAGACCGGGGGAGGGGGAACTGCATGATCAATTATGAGAGGATGGAATAGATTCGTCCACTATTCTTCAGAGACGACGAACAGTTCCTTTACTTACAGAATTTGCTCATTCATTTGTTTAATTTGTAATAAATAAAAAACAATAACCTTTACCTGTAGTCACATTTTTTGGATAAAATGAGCTAATGAAAAATAAATACTAACTATTTAACAAAGTATTTTAGGCCTTAATGATCATCATTCAGACATGTTAGATTTCAATTTAGTAACTAAGACAAATATGTAATATTAATTTACTGTATTTGCTTCATAATTTTTACACTATTAAATTACGTTATTTAAAATAAGATATTTCTATATTTTGTGCTCTTGCATAGAAAAAATTCTAGAAACAGTGATAAAAAAATTGAGGTGAAAATCCCACATTTAGAATAAGTTTGACTTATAAATTTGGCACTATGTTATCCCCCCAAAGCCCTTGATATAAAGAATTTATTTTATTTATGATGAATACAAAAATTAGAACTACAGCGCAAAATGTAATGTTATGCTTACATGTTTAATAAATCTTTATCAATGCTAGCAATGAACAGGGCGAAAAAAAACGGACCACCTGAATAACTTTCGATATAATGATCGGATCTTCACGTTCTAGGACTGAATCTTACTAATTCCAGGGGATGACCTCAAATATGCTAATTAATTAGTGCAAACGATATTTTAAGTTATGAAATCAGGTACAAAAACGTACTTTCTCTGAATAATCATACATTTTTTCCCCAACGGATTTGGATTTCTCACCCCCAAAATATGGGAGAGAAATCCAAATGTAATTTTGCAATGCAAAATATAAAATTTAAACGAAACAGGTTGCAATGCAAAATATAAAATTTAAACGAAACAGGTTGAATAGTTCCTGAGAAGTTGAATTTTAAAAAATTCGTATGTTTAACATACTTTAAAAGTATATAAAAAATTGCTTATTTTACAATTCGAAATTTCTCGATCCTAATTAAATAAAATAATAAATGTTTACTCACATTTATTTTTTGCATAAAATTATCTTTGGATAAACGAATTTTATAATTTTGGGCGAAATTTTTTCAATTCGCTTAAAAAGTTCTCGAGATATGGCAAAATACGCGAAAATTCAAATTAACATTATTGGGTTCAAACTTTGGAACACTCCCCTGATGAAACTATTGGGGGGGGGGCTATATTTCCCAGATTGCGGCTGTCCCCTATATTTGGGATGTCAGAAATCCAAATCCGTTGAAAAAAAGGTTATTTTTCTTCAGAGAAAATACGTTTTCGTGTTTGATGTCGTAACTTAAAATAACGTCTGTAGTAACTAATTAGCATATTTGAGGTCACCCTTTCGAACCATTAAGTTTGAGCCCTAGAATGCGAAGATCTGATCATCAGATCAAAAGTTATTCAAAATGGTCATTTTATTTAGCACTGTACAATAAAACATTACAGAAATATGGGTACAAAAATAAAAACTTGCGACTATGCAAAATCGACAAGCGTATTCGAAATGTCATAATTGTAAATAGCTCTTCATGTGCATTATATATATTTTTAAGCACATATCATGGATTATTTAAAAGATTGCATTATATTATATCTTAAAAGCTTTATGAAACATCAACACATAACGATAATTTTGGTTAAAAATAGAGTAATTTTAATAAAACATTAAAAAATAATTTGCAATACTAATTAGTAATGCATTATTCAAATTAAAGAGCAATACATGTTTGAAATCTCATGCTACATATTATCAGTATAACGTAAACATCTTTAAAAAATTTTCATACTAATATTAATGTACTGATTTGATTTCTAAAGACATATTTTCTTCTTTTTTTTCTCCGTTTATTCTTGAAAACCTGCCAAAAAAGATAAAAACCATTTCCGTGCGTCCAATATTTCTATAGCCTCCAGTGAAATGTCATAAAGAGAGATACTGGTGAAATATAAAAAATACCGTAGGATTAAATATGATTTTTAATCTTGAAATAGAAAAAGAAATGAAGATACCAATTTTTCTCTCCAAGATGGAGAAAATCTATAATTTTGACAATTAAAATCGTTTAAAAAATTGAATTATCATTTACTACCTCCCCAAGAAACTCTCAAATTTTTAAGTTTACATTCAATATTTCAAGCAAGAATTACATATTGAAAAACAAGAATTAAGGTATCTTGGCTAGTGCAAAAAAGTGATTTTGGGCAAAATTTTCGAAATTGAGTTTATTATAAATTTAGAATTCCTGTAATCTCAGCTTTCTAAAAATACCTTACTTTTGTTTGTACGCCAATTATTTACTAAGTTATAGCAATTTTCGTGTAACGTGATAACAGGGAATAATAAGGTGATAACAGTGAAGTCTCTGAATGCATTTATCTCAAAATCATTTTTTCTCCACATTTTACGTTACCTTAAACACGATATCTCATGTTTTCAAAATAATTGCCTACAATTTTCCACGAGTGCTTATGATTATAGCACACGTGTTCTGAACAACAGATTAGGAGAAAAATGCAGAATTTAATTTTTTTATGTATGTTTTTTTGTAAAGAGAAGTGCAGAAATTTGTAAAAATTTGCTATTTTAATTACATTGATTCCTAACTCAGTAGCATATGCAACTGCTTTTAAGATATTGGTTCAAAAAAAAAGTTGATAGTCTTCTAAATAAAATCTCCAAGGGATTTTTTGTTCTAGGAGATAGAAATTTTTTTTACATATATGCAAAAAAATGCCCTATTTTTTGTACCTAAAAATGGTCATTTATAAAAAAGCAACGATAATAATATTTTTCTGGTAGCTTCATAAGTTTTTACACATAATAAAAGAAATAAATTAGTTTTTAAAAATTCTATTTTAATATTTTTATAAAAAGTTGAAACTAGCCTGATTCTTTTTAATTAATTTTCAAAACAATCACATTACTATTAATTACAATCACATTATTATTAATTACGTTATTTTCAAGCAAGACTTAGATTTAAATGGACTTGAAAAAAAATTTCGGAGGGGAAAGAAATTAATCATCAACAAAAGAAATTTACAGGTATCCAAAGAAGTTTTGTTCTATTTTTCTGTGAGAGAAAACGACCCAGTAATTTCAAACAAATGCATTTATTCAGTGAAATTACCTCTTTCTTCTTCAATTGCATGTTACTCAACAAGATGCAAGTTTATCATGCGGTAGTATGAACGGCAAAGCGATAACAACTAACAAAAACGCACTACAAAATTAAACTGACTAATAAGAGATCCTTTAGAATTTAGAACATTATTTTAAAACAACACTCACAAACATATTGCATATATTTCAATTATTTTTTCAATAGGGTTTTGCATATTTTAAAATTAAATGGGCGGTAAAAATTTAAATACTAATTCCAAATAGAAAGCACAATACCACATTTGTTTAAAAAGCTCATTCCGATA